ATACTATTATATTATTTATATTATATATATATCAAAACATATTTAAAACATTATTTATAATTTAAATTTTTTATTTATTTTAAATAAATTTATTTTAAAAAATACTATTATCCGAAAACATTTTGGGGATTCAGGTCCCCACGGGGAACCTATCCCCGTCAAGGATCGGGGGTGGGGGTTAATTTCAGAATCAGGGTCGGGGATGAGGAATATGATTCTCGCCCCATTGCCATTCTTACACACCTTATAGTTTTACATATTTACTTAAATCTACCTTATAGTTTTCATTTTACTAAAACGTTTCATATATTTCACAACTTATTTACTTAATCAACCTTTCATTAAGGAGTGTTTGTTTTGCCATTAGGCCCATGATTTTTTATTCCAAAAATAAAAAACAGAATTGACCAAATATAGCCAATAGAGTGGTTGCCCGTATCTTATTAAGGGCAAAAATGGTATTTTATTTTTATCTTCTTTTGAGTAAATTTATTTAAATGAACATTAGGATCAACACTGTAATTTTTCATTGTCATCTAATGGAAGATTGATTAAATCCATTGCAAATTATAAGTGGTGTTTTAGTAAAATGCTAACTACAGGGTAGATTTTAGTAAATCCATGAAACTACAAGGGGTATTTTAGTATATGACCATTTTTATTATTTAGCTTTCTCTTAATAAATCCCGTGCATCGCACAGGTCCCCGCTAGTAAACCATTATAACTTTGAAAAGTGTGATTATCCATGTAAAAAGGAGTTTGGATCTCCTACACAGTCCGTTCTACACAACTTCCTGTACATCCAAACATACCACGACACATGTGTGGACAATTTAACGGATCTCTCAAGATGCTCGTTTCATTTATTTAATTATTTTAGAAATTTAGTCATAAAAAGTTTTTGACCATCCAACCCAACCGTGAGAAACAAATTTGGCGGAGGATAGCAGGGGTCATCTTCTTCATGTTTTCACCAACAAACCCTTTATCCTCACCAGCACCGCCTTTTTTATTTCCTATCGGACAAGTGACACAGAAATTCTTTCCAATGAGTCATATCATGATTTTAGTTTTGAATTCAACCACTCCATGTAATCTACTGAAACATGAAAGTGGAAACTGATCCCTTTTTAAAAGATTTATTAAGTGGGTGTTCTCTATTCTACCACTGTTGCTTCTCCCTGCTTCTCCCACTATTCTCCACTGGGAACGTTTTGACTCTTTTGGTTTCCCAGAACCACCGTTCTATTCGCCATTACGGCTTTCTGCTGTTAATTTCCACAACCCCACAATACATGGTTAGTGAATTAGAGGATCCTCAAATCCTCATTCCATTTTGTTTCCCAGAACCACCGCTCCACCACCATAAACTTGTTGATATTTCCAAACAAGCATATAAAAGGAAAAGAACCATCTTAATTTGCATTTTAAAAATAAAAAAGATAAGATAGACAGAACGAATAATTCAATATAGGTCTCACTATCAAATCAAAATGCTTGTATAGAAACAATTTAATACTCCTAAATTTTTTTCCATTGTGCCAAATTGTAGATACACAAGTCTAATCTAATTATTATTTATGAGTTTTATTTCTATCTTTGTAAAGAAAGCGATGACAAATGAGAGACCAATTGAGAAAAAATAGAAAGAAGTCTTCAACTAGATGGAATTGAACCAGGTTTGAGGAGGGAGGTAGTGAGACAATGTAATATCTATTGGGCAGAGGATAAACTTTTTCTCCTATGGCACCACATTACCGGACAGAAGAGCTACCGAAATTGGTGGTACCGACGAAAGAAGATGATATACCGGTGGAAACAGGACAGGAATTGGGAAAAAGACGAGGTTTATGGGAACCTCTCTCCCTCACATCTCTTATGGATAAATAATAAATCTGTTTGGTTGTATGAAATCGTGCGATTGAATGGAGGAACTAATGCATGACGCGCTATTGAAATTTACATCCATATAAAATGTTATGATAAGTGAAGTTTACCGGCATCAATATTACACTCCATCGAAACGCCCACAAATACGGACCGCGAGTAAGGTTTACACGAAAACAAGGGCAATTGTAAAAGAATCACATGTCACATTTCTAACTATAAAAATACTCCCTCCCGCCAAGTTGGAATTTGGAAGTCGGTTTGGAAGCTCGAGTCGGAGTTTGTCTGGATTTAGGTCCCTCTCGTCTGTTGCCTCGCCGAAGCTCCGGTGTGTCTCGACTTATCTCTTTTCTATCTCTCCACCGTTCTGATTGACATCTATTAAATTAGGGTTTCCTTTTTTATCGTTCGACTTCCATGAATTTTTCTTCGTTGCATTTCCAAGTCTCCATTCCGTTTAATTTCTAATATTGATGCTATTTGTTTCTGCTGGTCTCATTGACTATTGCCCTATCTAATGTTTGTTCATCGCATTGTTGTACTCAGTTACACAGGCTCCTGTTAGCCTGTTTGGTCAGACTTATCTGTTTGTTCTGTGACCGACTGTGTTCATCTGTATTCGACTTATTCTGTTTGTTGCCCAAATCGTGGGGAAAAAAAAAGGAAAGAAACGATCTTGCGTAGCCAGTAACTGTCTCATTATTCAATTTGTTTCGTTTTTTTTTTGACGAGTAAAAATATTATATTAACAACGAGAACAATAAACAAAATTTTGTACAGGAGGATGAAAAGGAGGGTACTCATAACATACAAAAGATTCCTGCTGTAAGATTTTGCCTAACTTTGCTATTTGATGAGCAGGAATATTATACCTCCTTTTGATGAAAATTAACTTAAAAGTTTCAAAAGAAAACAGTAAATTTTTTGTCTCTGTTAAGTGGCTTAAAAGAGACCAATGTAAAGAGGAATGATCTTGAAGAGCTTGAATAACTGCTTTGGAATCAGAGCAGATCAAAATGTGTATTCTCCTTAAAGATTGGGCAATGGAAAGTCCTTTATAGATAGCAAAAAGTTCCGCTTCTTCAACTGACTTTAAACTCCTTCTTCCTCCTGCAATTTGTAAGCAATTTAAATGTGAATCAAGTAAAATAGCACCATAAGAATAAGAAAGCTGATAAATTTTTCCTGCATCAGTAAAGATGATACAATCAGTATTTTGTGTAATCTGTAAGCAGATCTGGGGAGGAAGATCAGGAGTTATATTTAAGTGAGAAGAAGAAATGTTATGAAAGATACTATTAGTTTTTCAGATTATCCAATGATTGGAAATAGTATTGTTTTTGAAAATTCTTTCATTTCGAGCAAACCAGATATAATAAAGAGATATGGCATACCAGTCAAGAATCTGTTTAAGGAGATGTTTATCAGGAATTTTATGCATAAGATCTAGAATGCCTTTAGACCAAGAAATATAAGGGGAATTAGGATTCAAGATATTTGAAGGAGCAGCAAAAAGAATTGATTTAGAAAAAGGACAATTTAAAAACAAATACTCAACAGTCTCAATTTCTGTTTGACAGAAACTACAAGATTGATCTTGAAAAGAAGAAAAAAGTTTTTCTTTAACTGGAATGAAATTGTTGAGGGTTCGCCAGAAAAGGAGTTTGTATCTTGGAGGACAATTCAAATGCCAAATTATATGATTGGAGGAGTTTAGTTGATTTACAGAATGAGGGATACCACCCTGAAGGAGATCTATAGAGGCTGTTGAATTTTTGAATTTTCCTGAGAAATGTTTTGTCCAAATCCAGTGGTTTGTTGCATTATCAGGAAAGATGGGAGTGCTGAGAATTGCAGAGACTTGGTTAGAATCAAAATTGTTTTGGATCAAGGGACTGTTCCATTGACCGTTGATGATTAAATCAGCAAAGGATAAATTACGAAACTGAGCTGGGATAGGCTGATTTAGAAAAGAAAAAATATCTCCATTTTGGATCCAAGGGTTGAAGGTGATATTTACATTGGAATTATTGGCTGCAATATACCCAGCCTCTTCTGACAAATTCTGAAGTTTAGGAGCAATTGTTTTCCAAAAGAAAGAACTGGATCTAGGGATGGAGTAAGGAAAAGGAGTATTAGAAGATAAGTACTTGGATTTCCAAATTTGAGCCCACCATTTTTGAGGTTCATTCAAAAATTGCCAAGCAAGTTTTTTGAGGAAAGTGATATTTACTAGCTTGGTTTTTTGAAAGCCTAGACCACCAAGAGATTTTGGGAGGGCCAACTAATGATCAGTGATCCAAGATCCTTGTTGGTCTTTTACTCCTTGAATTTCATTTCTTCTTTGGCGACACATTGTACTTCTATGGAAGTAATTAGTATTTTTATCTCCTAAATTTAGCCAGAGTTGTCTTGATCTCTATCTCCAAAAACTCTCAATCTGAATTTGAATCTCATCAAATTTCCGATATAAATTTAAAATCTTCTGATGATCCCAAGGATTAGTTTGTTCTGCTTGCACAATCTAAGGTTCAACTTCTTTCAACGTAAGATAGAGATCTTTAAAGGTCGATTTTCTCCAATTGATGAGATTATGCTTTATTTTATCTAACTTTGAAGAGATTCTAAAAGTTGCGAAACCATTAAAATGAGAGTTCCAACCATTTAAAATTTCTGATTTACAAGAATCATTTGATAGCCACGTCTCAAAAAATTTAAAGGGTTTTGGAAAACTAGTTTTGAGAGGGGACAAATTCAGGATAAGGGGATGATGATCAGAGCCCCACTTCGCAGAAGTTGATAAAGTGGCATTAGGAAAGAGGGAAATCCAATCTGGAGAAGCTACAACTCTATCTAAAGTTCTACAAATAAGACCAATTGAGCGCTTATTAGACCAACTAAGAATACCACCTTGAATATAGAGTTCGATTAGATTATGATAAAAAATTAGATTTCTGTATTGAGTAGATGAAAGGCGGTACGAACAATTAGGGTCCATTTGGTTCGTAGTTGGAATCGGAATTGAAATCCTTTAGAATCGGAATCGGAATCGTCTATTCCCATAATCTGTTTAGTTTAGACAGGAATGGGAATAAAAATTAAAATTAGCAGGAATGAGATTTCATTCTAGAGAAACGGGGAATGCCATTCCGAATGAGATTCCGATTCCGCCCAACCAAACAGTTAGAATCGGAATAGCCTATTCCAATTCCGATTCCAGACCCCTATTCCTACGAACCAAACGGGGCCTTACTTCTTGCATCCCCATTATCTTTGCTCAACTTGACCCTTTTGGGGAAGTTTTTCTTTTCGAAATATCATATTGATTTAACATATTTTTTGCTCGGCATGCTTTTGACAACTTAATTAGGTGTCATTTGTTGCAGCCACGATCATAAATTTGTCTTATGGTGGCATGGTATTTGATATGTTCATTTATTTGATTTCTCTTGCAGGAAGACCTGCTCCCCGTGCAGCTCCCCGTCCTACACCTGTACGCAACCCCCCTCAGCAAGGTATTACAGTAGGTTTATTTTACAGGCAATACCTTTTCTGTTCTATTTTGTCATTGTGAAATTTGTTCGAGGTTGGTAATTGTTTGCTCTCCTTATTTTTTAATTGGTTTTAAGGTGTGCTTTTCAACAACTATACATGATACTATGATAAGACTCTCAGAGAGGACCATCCCCTTATTAAACATCCCTTGTCCAAGCCATTGGACAAAGCATTCTTATCACCTTGGAACCCCGCAAATAGAGGTATCCGTTTTATGCAATGGCACAAGGTACCAAGGTGAAGGTAGGTGATAAGGAAGTAGCCAGTCTCCTAGTTAACTAGGTGCCCACCTGGGTGATGGATTTTATTTAAAAAAGCTTACAGATCATATGCTTCTTTCTTAGTTTTATTGTTGTATTATAGGCATCTATATTGAAAAAAAAGCAATGATCTTTACTTATAATGAATTTCATGCCAAAAGATAAAATATCTTAATATTTATAAACGAATGATATTTTAAATATATTTGTATTAACATCCCAAATGCAATATTGTAATGAAATAATTTAATAGAACATAGAGCAATTGTAGACTAAAAACAATCAGCAATTTAACCTATTAAGCAACAAGAAAAGGCATATACCCCTGTTTTGGTCCTAGAAAAAAGGGCAAAAAAAAAAGTAGAAGAATGAGAAGAAGGGGGTGGAGCCCCTGTTTTCATCCAAAAAAAAAATGAAAAGGCACAAAAAACACCTGAAAAATAAATAATAAGAAGGGAGAAGGAAAACACAAACACACGGGACTAATAAATAAAGGAGTAGAAGGGGTCAATTTTTAAAGGTTCAAAGTATCGATTACACCCCGATATACTTTGAACCTTGTGTTCATATTTTTTTTTTCCAAAATATGCCAAGGGGTCAATTTAAAGGCTTTTTGACATTTAAAAACCAAACTTTTGGGAAAGCCTTGAAAAAGTCTATCAACCACCTGTTGATACGATACGATAGTACGATACACCAGATACGGGATGTATTGTGTTGAAAATTTGAACCTTGATTATTATGTAGAGATCAGCTTCGGTCAGGGCAAGACCCATGCTCACACCATCCCAACAGCCTCTTGCAGCCTTGCATTGGGAATATCTCCCCATGAAATATAAGCACATGAATAGGGAGATATTCCCAATGCAAGGCTCTAAAGGCTGCTCGAACGGGCGTTGCCCTGACGGAATCCAAACCCTATGTTAAGTTAAACAGTGCTTTGGTGTAGTAGGTTCTATCCTAATATTTTGAACTTACTACAAAATAAAAATATAAAAAATATCCTCTTGGTCCTTGGGCAAGGGGACCCCACTATTTGCTCCTTGTCACCTAGGCAGGTGCCTAGGTGTATCCTTGGCAACTAGTCTCCATAAATCCAATGTCAGTTCCTTGGCCCATCTAGTAGGTTTTCAGAAATGGCCTTTGACCTATGTTGCATGATATATGTATGATATGGTAAATTTCAACCCTTTGTTGATGACCTAGTTTTCATTAATCAAATATCAGTTCCTTGACTCGTCATATTGGTTTTCAGGAATTGTCTTTGACTATGATTCGTGATATGATATGATACTTCCATTTGTAGATGAACTATTCTTCCATGACTCCAATGTTGGTACCCTACACCTTCTAATGGGTTTTAGGTAATTGCCTTCAACCTATGTTGGGCAGATGCTTCAAAATGAGTCCCTGGAAACTCATGTTTTAGTGTAAATTCTTGTCCAACACCTTGTCTGTGCCATGTTCCAACTGTTTCTGGTAAAACATAACTTTCACCAGTCACTACCTCTCCTGGATACTTCAACGTTATAAATGGGTCTTTGGCGTTTCAATTTCAGTGTAAATTCTTTCACCTTGTCCATCATGCAATGTTCCTGCTGTAGGCGAGCAGCATAGCCTTCAATGCTGAAGGGTAAAACCCACTTCTGCATGGCTATTCTTAAATCCACAAAGACAGCTACAAGTTTCTCCATAGCTGTTCCTGTACTGGTTGCAGATAACACCTCTAGAACTAGCAGGACCCAGATACCCAGGTAGCTGTCAATCTTCCATTGAATACTCACTTGAATTCTTTGTTGGATTCCTTGCCACAGTCCAAATTGGACAAGTTGGCTCTCCTGACTAAAAATAGATAAAAGATCCCACCAGATTTTTTTTTTGATCAACAAGATCATACCTTGAAAAGATGAAAAGAATAGGATCCCCTGGGTGTGGCTACCTCATCAATAAGTGCACAATTCTTGTCCAAATGAGCCCAGAAATCAACTACTCAGAATAGCCTATGATACTACCGGTACTACAAGGATATTGGAGACTAAAACAACTTGCATAATCTCCTGGTGTGTGCTATGGGGATCCCAATTTTCTGGGCTGGGAAAAGTACCAGAATGGTCGGATGGATGATTGAAATATACCGTTTGGTATGGTTCCGGGTTCATAATCTAATGATCTTGTGGTCATCATGTAAAGAAATGCCTTTTTTCATGGTTATACTATTATCTTTGACTCTGTATTTTGCTGTGAATTCACTACTAAATACATATTGGAAGTTGAAACTAATGCTATTGTTCAATTATAGTCAACACTCATGGTTTCACTTGTCTTGGCTGCAGCAAGTCATGCTCCTCCATCCCCTGTCCAGGGTAGCAGTGGTGGATCTTTGCTTGGCAGCCTTGGTGCCACTGTAGCTGAGGGTATGTAAACATTCTCCTCTGTATTTTACAAAGAATTGGGGACTTAATCAGGGATCAGACCTGGCGGAGGAAATGAGGAAATCACTATTTATGTTTGTGTGTGTTGTTTGTTGACAGGCATGGCTTTTGGAACCGGAAGTGCAGTTGCGCACTGGGCTGTTGATGCTGCACTGGGCCCTCGCACCATTCGACATGAAAATGTAGTCTCTGAGGCTTCTTCTGCCCCGGCCCCTACCATGAATGGTGTTGGCGGGGCTGATGCATGCAATATTCATTCCAAGGCCTTCCAAGACTGCATAAACAACTATGGGAGTGACATAAGCAAGTGCCAATTCTATCTTGATATGTTGAACGAGTGCCGGAGGAACACCGGTTCAGTTGGTTAGTTCTGGTGTTTGATGATGCCACTTGGTCCACTTCCCAACTCAATTCTTATTACATTTCAAATTACCATTGACCTTTTTAATGATTGGTGGGGATATATTGGTGGATCCATGGTGAAACTGAAGGATTCGCGTCAATAATGTTGAATACCTTGATTTAAATGTTAGAACATTTTGAAATTTGAATACCTTGATTTAAATGTTAGAGCATCGATGACTACTTTTTTTGTTGTATTTATATTTAATCAATTTTACAAAAGCCTAGATGATACCACTTTTCATCCGGGTATTTATATTTAATCAATCCATAAATGAGAAATGGGAAATTCAGAGTTGTAGAGGGTTGTTTTCCTGGAATCGATGAACTATTGTATTCTATCCGACTTGTACTAGTCTCTTCTGTAGATTCCGATAGATCCATGGAAGAGGGGATTTCCATTAGAGAACCAAGTGGAAATTCTAATTGCCTTGTTTCTCTCTGTCAATAGTTATTACCAAGGTTCGAAATGTTGATACGTATTGGGCCATACTGGCCGATATGTATCATATTGGGGTTTCCTGATACATCCTTACAGGGGGTGTTTCGGGGTTCAACCCAATTCAGGGGGCAGACAGGCCTTAAACCGACCCCTATGAACCAGGTTTAAAAAAAAAAAAACTAAAAAAAAGGGGAGCGAGCATGTATAGGGTATCAATATTTTGAACATTGGTTATTACTTTCTCTCTCCGTGATGAATTCACCTTTAAAGGGTAAAGAAATTTTGGGACCATGAAACTCTTTGATCCCTTTGAAACCGATGGACGATGGTGGACTGGCCTAAAGTTATGATCTTCATTCTTCATTCTCTTTTTACTCGTAGGGAAATCGGGCTGACATAAATCCTTCTCTGCAACCTGAATTCCTTCCGGAAAATCTTATTTATATTTAGCAAAAGACAGACAATCTTGATCCTGGAAGGGGGGGGGGGGCAGAGGCTATTAGTTGTGATTGGATTGAATCTTCTCGGACGAGGAATGACTGAATGTCTTGAGAAAAAGTTATCACTGAAACTCTTCCTGATGCCACTCCTGCTTTCTTGGGTTCTTTAGTTAGGATTTGTTCTATTTAAAATGGAGACCTGTTTGAAGTTATCACCATGGTTTCAAAACTTCTAACATGAGAGGCAGACTGAGAGCAAGAAAGGAGATTGCCGGTGTTGCAACGAAGTGTGAGTGTAATCCAAAGTCTGTAAGGGTGTCAATGGACCGGTTTTGGATTGGACCCCATCCAGTCCAAAATCAATTTGGACGGATTGGACAGACCATTAAGACATGTTGGATTGGACCAATCTGGTCGAAAATATTTATTAGATTGGATTGGACCTGATCCATCCGTAATAAATTTATTTGGATTGGGTTGGATTAAGCAAATATCTGGTGATAAGAATGTGTCAACGGACCATGTTTGGGTTGAAACCAATCTAAATCAAAATGAATATGAACAGATTGGACGATCCAGACATTGAATTGGACCAGTCCAAATTGGTCCAAAACATTAATTGGATTTAATTGGACCTAGTTCATTTATAATGGACTCACATTGGATTGGATTGGATTGGACCAAATCTAGTCCAATTGACACCCCTATCCACATCCTCCTAAGCCTCAATGAAATTTCCCTTTCAGGTATTTTCTCCACAAATGTCGGGTTGTGTCATAGAACAGTAAGCAAACAAGAATTCAAGGCACAACTCAATATATCATCAAAAAGTTTTCGCCCTAGAAATTTTCATCACTAATGACATCTTCTGATGAATCATTTCGATAATTGATACTAGATTTCTGGTCATCCAACATTTTGGAAGAAAATAAACAATTTAGTAGGTTTAATCTGAGACCAAATCAGCCCCCACAATGTCCCACAGCACATCCCTCCGCCTTGTATTGGGACATCTCTCGATGATAATCTCAGAAATAATGATGTCATCATCCGGAGATGTTCCCAATACACGGCAGGGATGTGCTGTGGGACGTTGTGGGGGGCTGATTTGAACTCGTTTAATCTATGCAAAAAAACAAGAAAAATGAAAGGAATTGATGATGAGAGGCAAAAATTGAACAAATAGTATTTTCTTCTGAAGAAAATAGAAAAAATAACAAACTTGGGATGATAGATTTTTAATCACCCAAAAGTGAAGAATAATAAGGGAAAAAATCCCACTTGATTAATTAAGAATGAAGAGAGAACGATGAAGGATATTTTTGGCCCTTGTTGCATTGAAGTTAGGCCTCTAAATGATACCCAAAAATCTGTGGCCCGATCCTATACCCAATTCAATTATTTCAGATTCGGAAGATGTATTTATGTAATCAGATCAGATTCGGATTCAAATTTGACTCCATCATCTAGTTAAAATCCAATTTGATTATATTATAATATTTATTGGTTTTAATATATAAATTTTATATAATTATATTTAAAACTATAAAGAATATATTTTTATATATTACATTATATATAAATTCGGTATGTTATATTTACATTAATATATATATAAGTGAAAAGTAATTAACATTTTAATTTTTTTTATATACTTTAACAATTAAAGTGAAGTTGAATTAAATCTGAATCTAATTCGAGTCCATTAGGATTCAAATTTGAAATCAGATTGGATTCAGATGCAAGTTTTCAATAATCAAATCTAATTCAGATTTTGCTAAATCTGATCTAATTACAGCCCTAATTGAAGTAAGCCTAGGAGAAACTAGAAATTTTATTTTTCTTCATTTTAATTTTTTTATTTTCCCATAATTATACCAAAGTGCTTTTCTCATATGTTTTAATCGAAAAAAAAGACAATCCTTTTCTTATCAAATAAATCCAGCATTTAGATTTTTTAGACTTGTGCCCCTTTACACCTTAGGCCTTTGAGGTTTATGATTCTTTAGGTTGTGTTTGATTGCAATGCAAATAAATTTGCACTGATGCAAAACCATGGCAGTGAAAATTCTGACCTATTTTTGTTTCAACTTTTTGCTTATTTTGTTTGATTGCAGTACAAAAGAAGTAAATTAAGACATGAAGCAGAATAAAGTAAAATACAAAACAAAATTAAACAAGAATTTGCATTTTTAGATTTGCACTCCTATGTATTTGTACTAGTGCAAATAAAATTGTACTGTAACTAAATATAGCCTTAAGATAAATGCTTAGATGTCAAACCAAAGTTTTGAGCTTAAACCATGCCACAAATTTTAGAGCCTTGCCTTAGGCTATGTTTGGTTTGAAGGAAAGGTAGGGAAAGATAGGGAAACCTTTACAAACCTTATATTGGTTTCCCTGTCTTTCCCTTCCTTTTCCTACATTTTCCTTCAAACCAAACATAGCCTAAAGGCACAATTGCACAAGCCTCACGCCTTTACCGTGCCATAGAAAATTTGAACCTTGTTGGGATATGGAGGAGAGTAGAGTTGTTAGGACTTAGGATGTGAGAGAGAATACACTAAGTAAGATAGGATAGTAGCAAATGATAAAGACTCAAGTTGTTGGGAAAATGGGAACTTGTATTGGGTTGTTCTCAAATGTACAAGCTTAGCCCTATTTATAGTAGAGCCAAGTAGGTGGAGCAAAGCCAACCAACATTCTAGACATCTCTCTCTAGAGTTTTACCTTTTCTAGAAATCATCATCTTCTAGACCCAAATACATTCTAGAAGTTAGAACTTGTAGAAAGTGTATTACTTTTTCTAGAGGCTTAGAGATTTAATTTCTAGAGTGCTAATTAATTCTAGAAGTTTGAACTTCTAGAAAACTTATGGAAAGTGGATTATTTTTTTTAACACTCCTTATTGCACTTTCTTGTAACTCCTCATTGCTCTCGTAACAACTCAAACTTTGAATGCGGTAATGCCTTTGTGAAAATGTCCGCTAATTGTTCTTCGGACTTGCAATGCTTGAGCTCAATTTCTTATTTGCTAGTTGTCTCTCGTAAAAAGTGATACTTGATTGCAATGTATTTCGTCCTGCTGTGCTATATTGGATTTTTTGCCATTGCTATAGTAGACTTGTTGTCGCAGTAGATCGTTATCGGTTCCGTTTTTTGCTCACCCATGTCTTCAAATATTCTTCTTAGCCATATAGCTTGACTTGTTGTTACTGCCGCTACTATGTACTCAGCTTCTGCTGATGATTGTGTTACTGTGGCTTGCTTCTTTTATGCCCAAGAGAATATTCTAGATCCTTGTGAGAAGGCATAGCCTGAGGTACTTTCATGTCATCCACTAATCCTGCCAAATCACTGTTAGTATAGCCGGTCAATCTTGAGTTAGTAGTGGATTTGTACCAAATGCCATATTCTTTTGTGCCCTGCAAGTATCTTAATATCATTTTTGCTGCTCCATAATGAACTTGACTTGGGTTTTGCATGAACCTCGAGAGTAAATTTGTTGCATACATAATGTCTGGTTGCGTAGCTGTGAGATAAAGTAAACTCCCAATAAGGCTTCTGTAGATTGAGGCATCAACCTTCTTTGAACCATCTTCTTTCTTGAACCTTTCATTTATAGCAAGTGGTGTAGCAATCATCTTGCATCCTTCCATCTTAAACTTCTTCAGTAGATTCTTTATATACTTCTTCTATGATATAAAGATACCTTCTTCTTCTTGATTGATCTCGATGCCAAGAAAGTAGTGCATTAATCCGAGATCACTCATCTCAAACGTCTTCATCATATCTTGATGGAGGCCCATCCCATCATGGAGGCCCATCTCACCATATGGGCGGCAGTTCATAGGATAAGGGAGCTTGCAGGATAAGGATGATTCAAGAATTCAAGATTATCCCATAATTCAAGAATTCAAGATCCATCAAGAATTCAAGAATTCAAGATCTATCAAGAATTCAAGAATCCAAGACCCATCAAGAATCCAAGATAATCCAAGAATTCAAGATAATCCAAGATTCATACCACGATTAGGATAACCCATGCATGAATAAGATCTAGGGAGATCGGACGATCAAGCCCAAGAGTGTTCGATCCTATCAAGACAAAGATCAAGATCAAGAAGAGTGTTCGATCCTATCAAGACCAAGATCAAGATCAAGAAGAGTTCGATCCTAGCATATTAGAGATCTATCACAATTGTTCTTTCCTAGTTATTCTACAATTTCCAAATGTATTATAAATATTGTTATTTCCCAAGTTAATAGACACTTCAGTTTTTTGCCACCTTTTCTCTCTCCTCTAGAGATTTACATTTAGCTTTGCTAGAAGCTGGTGTTCGCCCGGTGCTTGCATAGCCAGCCTGGTTTTCATTGCTTCCACGCTGTGTCATATATTCCTTGAACTCCTTGATCATTGTCTCATTGTTTCTTGTGCAGACGAGATCATCTACATATAGAGAAATAATGAAAGTGTTAGAGTTACCTTGGGTTTTGATGTATAGAGTAGGCTCACTTTGACTCCTCCTGAATCTTTGATTGATGAAGTAACCATCGATCTGACTGTACCATGCTCGTGGTGCTTGCTTTAGGCCATAGAGAGCTTTCTTCAATATTAGTGCCTTGTTTTCTCATCCTTTTACTGTGAACCATTAAGGTTGCTCTACATATATTTCTTCCTTGAGCACTCCGTTTAGAAATGTTGACTTAACATCAAGTTGATAGATCTTCTACTTCTTTTGTGCTGCTAACGCTACGAGTGCTCTTATAGTGTCTAAACGTGCCATTGGAGCAAATGTTTCATTGTAGTCTATCCCAAGCAACTATGCATAGCCTTTAGCGACTAGCCTCGCCTTGTGCTTTTGTATTGAGCCATCAGAGTTGAGCTTTGTCTTGTAGACCCACTTGACTTCGATCACTTCTTTGTCTTGAGGACGATCCACTAATTCCTATGTCTTGTTTTTCTCAATCATTGTGATTTCTTCTTTCATCGCCTTTACCCATACTTCTTGTTTTGCTACTACTTGAAAACTTTCAAGCTCCATAATTACAAAGTTGCATATCTCATATATCTCACTGAGTGGCCTCGTCCTTCTTAGTGGTGATTCAGGAGATGACTCTTCTTGTTCTTCTTCTTCTATTGTGGCTGATGATGAAGTTGATGGTGATGTTGTAGATTGAGGATTTTTTTGTCATTCTTCTCCTTCATTACTGATTGGCTTTAGTCTTTGTACTTTTGGTATCATGATGCTATGTTTTTTCACATTTTTTTTCTTTCTAGTTCCATGTAGCATTCTCGTCAAACTCCACATCTCGACTAATAATTACCTTCTTGCTCTTTAGGCTATAAATTCTATAGCCTTTTGATTGCGTACTATATCCGAAGAATATTCCCTTCTCTGTATTCTCTTCTAGCTTGTGTGTTTTTTCTACTAGAATGTGAACATAGCAAATGCATCCAAAAACTCTCAAGTGTTGTGCCGATGACTTCCTTCCACTCAAAGCTTCTATAGGAATCTTATTTTCTACTACTCTTATTGGACGCCTGTTAAGTAGATAGATTACATTATATACTGCTTCTACCCAAAACATCTTAGGGATGCCTTGTTCCAATAGCATTGATCTTGCCATCTCCATCACTATTCTGTTCTTCTTTTTTGAAACTCCATTCTACTCTAGGGACGGGCAACTGATGCTCCAAGCCTTCATCTTCAAAACTTGTCGAACTCATTTGAAGTATATTTTTTTCCTCTATCACTTTTGATCACCTTTATGCTTTGGCCACTTTGTTTTTCAACAAAATTCTTGAACCTTTTAAAAATCTTAAAGACTTCTGACCTTTCACGCATAAAATAAATCCAAGTCATTCTTGTAAAATCATCAATGAAGAGAATGAAGTACCTGCTTTGTTCGAAGGATGTCGTTCTCATTGGTCCATAAACATTTGTATGTACAAGCTCCAGGATTGCCTTGGCTTTCCATGCACCACTTGATGGGAATGATTTCCGATGTTGCTTACTAAGCAAGCATCCTTTGCATATGTCGTTCATCACTTGAATGGATGGCAGATCCTTCATCATGTCTTTTTGATGGAATACTTTTAGCTTGTGCAAATTGAAGTGGCCAAATCTTCGATGCCAAAGCCATGATTCATCTTCTTGAGCCTTCATCGCTGTCTCGGTGTATTGCCATATGATTGGAAAATTCTTTTGGTGCTGCATCTTTACCTTAGAAATCTTCAAGTTTTTATTTTTGTTATCGTATATCGTGGATGAGTCTCCTTTGAAGAATAGAGAATATCCTCTTTTTACCATTTGCCCAACACTTAATAGATTTGTCTCCAGTCTTGGGACTAACAGCACATCTTGTATGAGTTGTGTCTCATTCCTTGTCTTAACAGTGATAGTTCCTTTACCTTCGACCTCCAGTGATACTCCATTGCCAAGCCTGACTTTGTCTATATCTTTAAAGATCTTCTCATTACCTGTCATGTGATTACTACAACCACTATCCAAATACCAAGCGTCACCCTTTACTTCTAAAGCAGCATGACAGGCATAAAATAGATAATTATTTTTATCCTTCTTTTCAGAGTAATTAGCTTGATGTCTTTCCTTAAGACGACAATCCTTCTCTACATGCCCAAGTTTTTTACAATTTTGACATTGTGGTTTTCCCCGAAACCAACAATCTTTCTCAAGATGATTGGTTTTCTTGCAAATATAGAATGGCAGATATTTTCCTTTTTTATCTCTCCTAATATCTCCTCCATTCTCATTATTTCTACAACTTTCTTCTTTTTTGGAATTTTCTCTAAATTTTCTTTATCTCTTTTGGATTTTTGAGACCTTATATTGAGCTTAAATAAAAGGCATTCTCCATAGAGCTTTCATCACGCCTACTCAGTCTTTTTTCATAAGCTTCTAGGGAGCCCACCAACTCTATTACTGACAGAGTGGTGATATCTTTTGTCTCCTCAATGGTGGTTACTATTGGATCATATTTTTCTACTACACTAATTAATATTTTTTCAACCACCATATTTTCAGTAATATCTTCTCCATAGACTCTTAATTGATTGCCAATTTCTCTTAATCTAGAATAATAATCTTTAATGGTCTAAGAATCCTTCATCTTCATACTCTCCAAATCCCTTTTAAGAGTTTAAAGTTTAACAGTATGTACCTCGGCACTGCCTTGAAACTCCTCCTCCAAGGTATCCCATGCACCTTTGGCACTTGTAGCACCACTAATTCTTGGAAAAATCGATTCCACCATTGCCATTTGTATGTGATAGAGAGCAAGATTATCCTTCTCCATATTCTTCTGTAATTTCTCTTGCTCTACTGTAGACAGAGTAGAACTGCTTTCAGGAATTGTAAATCCCTTATCTACAATTCCCCATAGACCTTGGGACATGAAGAAAGTCATCACTTTAATGGCCCAATAGTCATAATTTTCTCTAGAAAAAATAGGGATATTGGAATTTGGCTATTAGCTAGAATGGTGGCCATGATAAGTTATGGGATAATAGGGAATTTTAGCTAAAAGGAAATAACACCCAAAAATAATAGAACAAACTCTGATACCACTCTTGGGATATGGAAGAGAGTAGAATTGTTAGGACTTGGGATGTGAAAGAGAGTAGACTAGGTAAGATAGGATGGTAACAAATGATAAAGGTTCAAGTTGTTGAGAAAATAGGTACTTGTATTGGATTGTTTCAAATGTATAAGCTTAGCATTATTTATAGTAGAGCCAAGTAGGTGGAGTAAAATCAACCAACATTCTAGACATCACTCTCTAAAATTTTACATTTTCTAGAAATCATCATCTTCTAGACCTAAATACATTCTAGAGGTTAAAACTTCTAAAAAGTCTATTACTTTTTCTAGAAGCTTATAGATTTAATTTCTAGAGTGCTAATTAATTCTAGAAGTTTGAACTTCTAAAAAACTTATGGAAAGTGGATTATTGTTTTAACAAACCTCAAACTGCAGTCTATTTACTCCAACCCATATGTTCATGGCCATTGCCCATTGCCCATTGGCATGGCCTGCACCGTCCTCTTCCACTAATAAACCAAACCGACTATCCATTCATTTGAAAAAATAACAAAGAGAAAAGAATAAACCCCTGGCATGAGAGTGACCCTTCAAATGGTGTGTCCCAAACATCTAAAACAAACGAGTATTAAGAGCCAATCTGCTTTTTGGGCCCCCTTTGTGCACTCATTTGTACACAGAGAATCATTACAGGTTGGAAATCCCCGAGAATCATTACCCTCAGTTAAAAAAAATAAAATAAAACCCTAGATTAGAGTCTAGCTAGGTCCCGTAAAATCAATTAGCTAGCCACTTATTATCGCCATTTCTGTACTCTCAGATTGCCTTTGACGTTATATTGAGTCCTGTTGCCATCGGCAGAGGTGAGAGAGGTAGGCCGTAGGGTGGAGAAAAAGGCAAAAAATAGTTCAGAAAACCGGTTTCTGTTGTCTGTTTATACGCTTCACATGTCATCAAAACATCAGTCGTTAGTAACTAATGTTGCACACTGATGAATTGAATTCAAGAAAGAAGAAAATTATCTATGGAAACTCAGAACCCATTCACATGACCCATCAAGAAAGCGACACCAGAGTACGTTGGAGTGGGGTCTTCATCAATAATGCCCATTAGTTTTATTTCTTCGATCTCGAAGCTCTTCTGATCAGAACAACCAGGCAAAGAACACGGTACAGCACAAAGAATCCAACTAAGATGTATATGTTGGTCCATCTCTGGCTTTCATGGAGCCCTCTCTTCTCCAATACATCACTGCCGGTCATCATGCATGTCTTGTTCTCTTCGTACCATATCAAACACTTGGAAACGAGGCAGGAGTACTCGTTGATCAGGAGAGCATCAAGGGCATATTTGTACATGGAGAAGTAGTGCATCAGGAGCCAATACTTGGGCAAGCTGTCTTTTGCGATGAAGTAGCCGGAGAAGAGAAAGAAGGCGCCGCAGCTCACTGTTACGAGCGACGTTCCGGCGATGTAGTTCGGAGCGAGCGAGCTCAGGAAGAGAACGAACGAATTTGCCATGAGAAACACAACCCATATAACCAGGACAAAGTAGGCGAAGGCTTGCCAAGTTGCGCAGAGACCCACTAAGAAATAGACCGAGACTGAGTAGACCAGCGCCAGTGCTAGCAGGTATGGCAAGAAGACTACTGTGTTAGCTAGCAGATGCGAAGAGAGCCTGTACACTCCACTCGACGTCTCTCTTAATATAATTGGCCTCTCGTTAATGAAGATGGGTAGAGTCTCGGTGGTGGAGGAGAGGAGGAAGGTCAGAGTGAAGGCAAACAGGCCGAATCTCTTCTCTATTCCTGGCTTACCAAACCCAATATGAATGTAGATGGTGCCTAAGACAAGACCCACAGCCAGAGCTTCTAATGTGTTTGTCAATAACAGTTGCTTTGTTCTGTAGATGATTTTCCAAAACCTGTTTGAAAGGGTGAAGATCTCATGGAGCCTTGAACTCTTGTATCTGATCCCTCCTTTGTCATTGTTATCTAGAGAAGCTGACGAATCGCGAGGGGGCGCAGGAATTGCTGGTGATGTGGTGGCCTCTTTGCTCTCTTGAAGCTGGTTTAGTATCTCCATTGCGTACTCCAGCGCGTTGAGCTGCGGAGGGACCGTGAAGCCATTGGAGATTAAGAAGGACTCCAGTGAAGACAGTGTTCCATGGTGAACAACTGTCCCTTTTGATAGTAAGAGAATGGTGTCAATGGTGGAGAGGATCTTGAAGCTGGGTTGATGTATGGAGAGGATTACAGTCCGGCAACGCGAAGCGGCGATCGACCGGAGAGTCTGCATTACGTTGAAGGCTGACGTGCTGTCCAGTCCTGAAGTGGGCTCGTCGAGAAGCAGCACAGCCGGGTCATGGAGGAGGCTGAGACCGATAGAGACCCGTCGACGCTCACCGCCTGACAGGCCATGAGCCAGGCGGGTATGTGCAAGGTGGGATAGCCGGAGCTCCGAGAGAAGAGAGTCCACAGTGGAGGCAATTTTGGAGGAGTTGGGGATGAGAAGCCGAGCAGCAAAGGCAAAGGTCTCGGAGACGGTGAGTAACGGGAGTGATGCGTCGTGCTGAGGGACATAGGCTGAGAGCTTGCGGAAGGAGGAGGGGTCGACAGGCGCAGAATTGAGGAGAAGAGATCCTTGTGTTGGTGAGGTGCGTGCTGCCAGTATGTCGAGGAGAGTGGATTTGCCGGCACCACTTGGACCAACAATGGCGAGGATCTGAGATGGGTTGGCAGTGAAGGAGATGTCTCGGAGGATGTAAGTAGGTGCAGACGGATTCCATGGTTTGAAGATGAAATTTGCTGCACTGCTGCTGGTGGTGAACTTGGTGTATGAGATCGAAGAAGCTGTTAGTCTGTAGGTTTTTAGTGAGGGTGACAGAGATGGTGATGGCGGTGGTGGTGAAGGTATTGACTGTTCCTCCATGGAGGTGGTGGTGGTAATGGCGCTTCTGGTGGTGGAGATGGTGGTGATGGGTGGAGGGAGAGGAGTTGGGGTAAAAAGAGTGGAATGTGTAGGGCTGTCTTGCTTTGTTCCATGGCTTTGCAATGTAAACTTGTGGAAGATAAGAGGTGAAGGGAATTAAAATGTTTTGGCCTTTGAGCTACACATAAGTCTTATTCTATGATTAAGATTAATTAATACAATTTAATGCACTGGGTTAGTTGTGTCATGAGTCATGACGAAGACAAGCAAACCACGATCCCTTGTTTTCAATAAGACAACAGACAGCTTGGTAAGACATAGTTTTCTATATTAATGATTCCTTCTTTTTCTTGACCTTTGTTAAGCTCTTCTTTTGTCATCTCCCTTTGGAAAAAGAATATTTATATAAATATTTTTTAAATTAACAGCATAATTAGAGCTGTATAGAAGACATGCAAATAATAATTCCTATACTCAAATAATTTCAGCGTTCATATTTTGTTTTTCAGAGCAAACTCTACTTTTTTGTTATCATTGTTTTTTTTGGTATTAGAGCCAACTCTTCCTTCCACGTTCCATCTCACTAAGAATCAAAATGCCACCCCCAGTTTTCTGAAAAATACATAAAAAGCCTTGGTGGAAATGCAGGTTAATTGGGCGTTCAAAGTGCCTTTAACTAATTTTTGTAATATTTTCACTAAGACAACATCTCATAAATGTTGTTAGATTTTTCAAATTTAAATGTAGCACATCGCTTAGGTCAGGTGATTCAAGAAACCCCTTCTCTCATGAATGCCAAGGCATAGTTAACTTAGACAATTCAAACAGAAAATGACTTACCAAATGCGATTAATAATCTAGTGTTGTAGGTTTTGCTTTTGGGTTTTGGGTTTTCAATGTAAGGGGTAATCTTTAGTTTGTCTTGGGCTTGGGCAAGGCCGGCTATGCCCTTCTCTTTAATCTTTTTCCTTTATTCCTTTGATGATGGTTGTTAATAAGATTTTATGGTGGCTGCTCCTCTATGGGTTGCAATCTAGCCGAGCCTAGTCGAATTTTGACATATCTTGGTTTGGCTCGAACAAAATACTAGTAGGTTTGAGTTCAAAATTCATTTAAAATATATATTTTCAGTTTGAGCTTGGTTTGATTAAATATTCAATTAACTCGAGTTCAACTTAAAAGCTCAAAATTAAATATATATATATATATATATTTATATTTATATTTTACATAAAAAACATATTTTCATAATATATTATAAAATATGTTTTTATATTCTATGCGTTTATACATATATGTATATATGTATGTATGTATTAATTACTAAATTGATCAAATTCAAGAGCTTTCGGTCAATTGAATTTTTATTGGTCAAGCTTGAATTCAAATAACTAATAGAGTTTACCCCGGGTTTGAACTTGATTCAAGCTCAATTAGAATCAAACTTGAACCCAAACTGCTATTTGATTAGAGTCTAGAGATCGATAGCCCTACACCTCTACTTGCAGTAAAGTTTGAAGCTCTAAAGAATGTAATTAAATAGAAGTTAAAGTTGGTGAAACATAACACTCGTAAAACACATGGCACCAAACACCCACTATACTTTTTCAGTGATATGGTATACAAGATTCGATGCACTTTGAGCTATAGCTGTGGTATCACGAGCAACCACACCATCAGTGCAACCTAACAACATTTATGATGCAAATACACATTGTTTCCATTGTGCGATTTTGCTCATGTTACAATACTTTTTACATGGAGTTTTTTATTTAATTCTTTTGTTTTAGATTTGTTCATGGTAGTCAACAGTCAACCATATTTCCTAATACTTTGTGAATTGACAAGAGCTTAGCTTAGCTTAGCTTTAAGCCTTTAACTAATTGCAAGAAGATGAAAACAACTCAATGGCTATACTATTTATGGCAAAAATCATTAGAAAATTAGGTAACATAAAGCAATAACGGTAAGAACTAGATCTTATAATAGGAAATTAATGATGAGATAGAGAGTGAAAATGATTCAGTAAATTCTCTCAATAAGTGACAAAGCAATTTTCTATTACCTAAATTTTTGGATTGATCCTGGTTGGTTACATGTAGAAACCGGTTGAAAATCTGAGACCTAAGGAAACGTAGGATATAGGGTAGTCCATTAATTGTATTACTTGCATAAACACGGTTCCATAGCAAATAAAAACTCTGTAGTCTGTACACAACCTAAACACGGAATATCTCCCTATAAATTTAATATACATGTACAAATTAAAGATATTTCCAATTATACAGCTGAATACTATGTAAATAGATTTTTTTTTTTTTTTTGCTTGTAGGAGATTTGGGCTTTATCCAAATTTGTGTGTGACTAGGATGAATGCAGTGGCTGATCTATGTAGAGGTCAGTGTGGACAATTGCCTCCACCGAGATTTGAAAAAAAATTTATATAATTGTAAAAATTATGAAGAAATTTAAATATTTTTACAATTGTTCCCACTCAAATAAAATTTGGCTTGGCTTCTTAAATTGTGTCATTTTTTTAGAGATGAATAGGTAAGAAATAAATAAATAATATATATAGAGAAGAATGACACCTATGTCTCTTTCATATTGACAAGTTATAGGTTTAGGATTTAGGATTTTAACTTTTCCTTTTTTTTTATCTTTTTCTTTTGCCATTTCACATCCCTCAAAAGTTCAATCTCATTTCTCTACCTCGTCTCTTCAAACCTTGAGATGACAGCTAAACATACCCTCATGGCATTTTCAAGATCACCAGTTTCAAATAAGTTTATGTTCGTTTTTTCTCGTATATAAGGCTGTAAGATCCCAATAAAATGGATATACCCATCATCCTCACTGAATCCATGATCAAAGGTCTTGAATCCGCCGCTGGATGAATGGTTATCTTTTGAAATGGCTGTTCCCTACCAATACTGTCCATGGATCCCATATTATCAAGGTTTCAACAGCTACAACTAGCCCAAGGCAAAAACATGAACACAAAAAATAAAATATGGAGAAAAAGGAGAAGAAACCCTAACTAAATATAATGCATGAGTGCAATAATCTGCAATGCATGTATTGCAAAGAAGGGTAATGCTTTTGCTTCAAGAAAAGGGCCCCGCCCTGGCACGCCCCCCTCCCACCAAGCCCCAGCTTGACGCTATTCAATGCATGTGTAGGCCCCTCATTTTGTGACAACTCCTGACTGGGACTCCTCTATCTTTGGGCAGATGAAAGTGTACGTAGGCAGTCTTTCCTGAACTGAACCGGACGTGGACACACCCATGACAAACTGCTAACTGCTTGCTTCTCATAAACCCACATTGACAATTTGACATAGCCAGCTGCTTCTCACTTCCATTGTTCAGTCCCTTTTCTTATCCCGTTCGGGTCGGGTAAACCCAACCCGGGACATGAGAAAGAGAAGAATCCAAAAAAAGGTCAGTGGTTGAGACTATTGCCTTATTGGGTGGCCCGTGGCCGGCATTTGAGTCAATGGAAAAATCACGTGTGGACTTAGTAGAATGACAAGAGCAGGATGGGGGAGGAGGGTGTGGTTGGATTGGATTTTGATTTTGTGGGAGAGAGGGAAGAATCTCTTACACCCTCAACCCTCAATTCACGAGTCCACTGTACTGACCTTCACACCCCGAGCCAGCGGAGCCTATTCCGAGAAAACCCATTTGAAAGCATATGATTCCCTTTCTTTCTTCAGACTTCTTGTCCTGATGTGGGGTTCTGGGGAAAGCTGACACTTCTCACTCCACGACGAGACGAGCTCTGCCTCTGCATTTATTAATGGCTGCCAACCCGTGACTCTACAAAGCACGCACATATACGGCGAACATATTTAATACTCTCTCTTCAGATTATTACATAAAAGCAATGGTCGATAATACCATGCAGCACGGGCAGAGAGACAGTTCGGTCAATACGTGCCTTGCAATTGCGAGTATGTTTTGTTTGTTTTATCAAAATTCAATTGTCACCATCTGCATCATTGTCCCAAATGAACGATGTTATCCAATGCAGTCTTCTTTTACCATTTTTAAGTTTTTTACTTTCACCATTCACCAAAGTAATCTACTTTTTTTCTTTAACTTCTATTCTTTGCTGCTAGCTAGTAGTCCCATTGCAATCGATTTGGTTGATGTGCCAATAATGCGAATGAGATAAATGAATTATGAGTAGAATGGCCCCCCTCCCCTTTCCCGTCTGGTGTTCGTCCTCCCTGACCCCATTAGGATGGGAATGGCGATTATCTTTATTGGGGATGGGAGTGAAGTCTTTGTCCCATCCCGACTCCAATAATATATATTAAATATATACTATATAGATAATTATAATATTGTATATCAAAATATATTTAAAATAGTATTTATATTTTATTTTTAATGAATCATTTTTTAAAACAAACTTTTAATTAAAATTTTCAGGGATTCAGATCCTGATGAAATACCTGGCTTCATTAGAGACTAGGGTTAGAGGCTAAATTTTTCACAATGAGGATCAAGGTTAGGAACTACGAATATGGTCCTTATCTTGAACCCACCCCATTGCCTTTACTAAATATGTGGAGTATTACGCTGTCCTATCATATATTAAGCCTGCAAACTGATTGAATGGGATATAAGGAGGTCCAAATTTGAGTCATTCATATATACGAATTTGAATCGAATATTATCCATGAAATTTGAATTGAATTTATATTGCAATCATATATTGAATAGCATTAATAAATTAAAGTAAAAGTGATAAACTTGAAACGCATATGAGCCAATCTGCTTAGGATCCGGTTGGTTTGTAGGAATAACCATTACAGCCTCCCCCATTCCAATGAGAATCTGATTCTAATTCCCAATTGAACCAAACAAATAGTGCAATGGGGATTCCAATTCCAATTATGTTCTAGTGCAGTGGCCTGTATGGGGGTTAAAGTTGCAACACCAAGGGATGGCAATTTTTCCAATCCTTGCCGAGTACTTGACCTCCCTGACTCAATGGGGTTAGTGGGAAATGAAGTAAAATAGTATTTTTATTTTAAAATTTTCTTCTATTTTAAGTAAATTTATTTTTCAAAAAATTATATTAATTAAAATTTTCAATGACGGGAATTTATCTCTAAATCGGGGTCGAGGACGAGGAATTTGATCATTTTGAATATTTGTAATTGAGCAGTAATTTAAGGAAGAGTTGCTCAATTCTTCTCTCTCTCTAATTTGTGTAAGAAAGAATTGCATTAGTAGCTCAATTAAAGCACATTCCAACTTTTCGTATTTTTCACCAAATATAGCTTAAGGCATTCTAAGGTGGGGCCCATCTTGTAAAGCTAGTAGACCTATTCATGGGCCGGGTGACCCGGCCCGGCCCCCGGATGGGCTTGAACGTGGTTATAGGCCCGTGGGCTTAAATTCGGGTCAAAAAGCACGGCCCACAATAAATTCAAGCCAGGCTCGGGTTTTGTCAAAATAGCCGGCCCGACCCGACCTAATATTAGACTTAAAGTGAGTAATGTGATTATGTCCATTTGAATAAATTTTTTAATTTAAGAATGTAAAACAATGTTTTAAAATATAAAAGAAAGGGGAAAAAAACCATCTTGTAGGCCCATTGTTCATTTAAATAGGAAAAAAAACTATCCGAATTTTTAATTCTAATTTGAATAGGGAAATTTTTTTTTTTAATTAGGTTGGGCATTGGGCTCGGACTTTGGGCTTTTTATCAGAGCTGGGCTCGGGCCCAAGTTATAGGCCCATTGGTCGGGCCGGGCTCGGGCTTGGGCCTAGCATATTTCCCTTAATGACAAGTGAGAGCCCGGCCCGGCCCATGAACAGGTCTAAAAGCTAGGAGTTGTGTGAAAGCCCTCCTAAACGAGCACTTAATTGTTGAAGCTAAAGATGGCACTACAAAAAGAATCGGCTTTTGACGACATTTGCTTCACGACGTTTGAAACAAATGTCACAAAAAAAAGTCATTTTTTGTGACTTTAATATTAAATTTCACAAAAAAGTTCACTTCACCAATTCAACTATTGACGTTTCTCTAATGCAGGGGTGGAACTAGGAGGACCGGGGGAGCCATGGCCCCCTATGATTCAGAAAATCCCCATTGTAATACAATTTTTCACATAAATTTTCTCCTTCCCAAACTCACCATTTCAATGATTGCCCCCCCTATGGGTCCATCCACACTTCATTTATGTTTTGGCCCCCGATATAATAATTTCCTAGCTCCACCCCTGCTCTAATGGATGATAATGGTTTTTTTGTTGCTTTTATTTTGTGTGGTTAGAATTTTCTTTTATTTGAGTAATGTTGTATTCAACCTATGTTGTTGTTCAAGCCATTGAGGAGAAACAAGCAAAAATAGAGGTGGTCATGAAGGATTGGGTAGGTTTCAGGTTAATCTAGGCATAACCTTAAATATTGAGACTAAGGCCCAAGGGTTAGCTCTATCTTTCCAACTTAGGCTTAGCCTGATGTAAAAATTGACATACTCGGGTTGGGGCTAGATCCAGGTCAGTTTTAGGCCAGTCAATTGGGCTTGCTGATGACAATTTCTACCCTACCTACTAGATACCCACCCCAAAGGGATGGCTTTTTTTTTGTTTAAAGGATGGATTTTGGGGCAGGGATAGGGTTTGGGATTTTACAACATGTACGAGTATGGATAGAGTACGATATTAAGTTAAACCCAATCCTTGCCGACTTATACATTGTTGGAAAGTATACAAACTTTATGTATTAGGTGTTGAATTTAAAAATATTATGAATTTTATGTGAAAGATAATTGATTATTGATAATTTATGTGTTTTTTTACATGTTTTAATCAAATAATTGAAAATTTTGTTGTTTGTTTATGTTATTTTACTTATTTATTACTTATATATAATAATAAATAATAGGAAATTAGATGCAGGTTCTTAACCCAACTCCTATCCTTGAATGTGGAGAGGATAGGATTAGGGAGGGTTTTACATTTTCATGTACGAAAAGAGTAGATTTACAAAATCTAACCTGTTATGGGTTTTAGAGAAAATACGGATTAAAAGATTTAGGGAGACAGATAGGGTCTAAAACTTACAAAGCCCTCCCTGAATCAACTCCGTTGCCATTCCTAGCTGAAACTGTGGGGCGGATCCATAGAAATTCAAAAAAAAAAAAAACACTTGAATTAATGTATTATTTCAACCCATTTTCCCATACTCAACCGATAAGGTTAAAAGAAAATATAAAACGGTTCGAGCTAGGATATGGTCCGCCCAAGGTGCAACCCTCAACAAAATGTTCAAATCCGTCACTTCGATTTTTATCTCACAGTTCTTCAAATACGAAGTCAAGTCACATACTCACAGTTGATCGTATCAACTTCCTATACACTGACATAACGTGTTAGCCCAGTCTTCATTTTCGGTTTTTTTCACAGCACAACAGTCTTTTTCATTGCCTGGCTATCGAGTACGGAGGAAGTCATCCGGCCGTCCAATTCTGTCGATCTTGTTTTGTCTTATTGGTGGTAATCGTAGAGAAGAATCCTACTAAAACGAAACGAAGAGGCGGAGGCTAAACTGGGGGCAGAGACGAAAGAAGGAGAACTGGAGAAGACAATATTTCAACCTTGAAGCCTACAATCCAAATGCTTGGCAGCAAGATGAAAGAAAGTTCAGGTAATTTATTTTTACTTCCACTGCATTTGAAGGTTTATATATGTTATATCGTTTTCGTTTTTTCACCAAATTTCCAAACCAAGAATATCAGCTCTACTCTGTTATTCATAAAATCTCAATAGATGAAGTTCTGTTTGGTTGTAATTTGTAAATGTTTTTACATTTCTCCGGCAACTTTGTTGCATGTTTGATGTTGGAAAAGGGTTGATGTTTGTGAACGTCGGTTCATTGATGTTACTGCGTGGTAATTTGTTTTAACCTTTTCTACTGAATGTGTAAGTTTGTGTATATGATCTTTTGTTTTTTCTCTATAACTAGACCAAAAGAAAAAAAAAAAATCTCAACAGAACTTGATAGGCAGTTGGGTTCTAAAATGTTTTTACATTTATTTCTCGCTTTTCAATTTCTTCAAGTGGGCAACTTTGATTCACTGGATAATGGCATTACTGCGTTTAATCCTTTTGATCTTTGGGTCAAACTGTGAATGGTCTGTTCCAATATCAGGCCAGGCTCTCACTGATAAAAAAAATATCAGGCCAGGCTCTCACTGATAAAAAAAATATCAGGCCAGTCTCTCGGTTCAATCCTGGAAAAGCCCTGTTTTGGATTAGAACAATGAGAAACAGTCGGTAGAAGTCACGACTTTGTCAAACCACAAATGGAGCTGCTTAGAATGGATCAGCCCAAAGTCTGGTTTACGGAAGTGGTTAAAATGTCTTACTCAGTGTTTTCACCGAGTATACCTACGAGATCCGGACTCCCAATGTTAATGATCCTCCTTTTGTTTTCTAAAAATTTCCCAATATGAGTTTAATGTCACAATACAAAAGCTTAAATGGGCATTGTGGCAGTTTTATCTCTCCCCCGCATGGCATTCATATAGGTATAGCATTTGGATAAGCTTCAAGATTTCTGATTTTAATCCCCCAAAGAGCAAAGACCTAACCACATAGTTTGTGCTTGAGGAATTAATAGTGTTTTGGCTTTCAAACTTTAATGTTTTTAAATCAATTATTTCCAAATGATCAAAACACTTTTCTTAGCTCAATTTAATTTCTCACAGCCCAAAGCTTCAAAAGGAGAAGCTTGAGAACTGAGCCTTGGTATATAGGTTCTAACCAATTCACTAGTCTAGTAGTGGAAGTACTTAACTATATTTGTGTATGACATGGGTGTATGTCTCTTTTGGATTATTTATTTATTGCAGAAGAAGACTCACATGTGGCAAGAGTGAAGATGAAACAAGTAAAGTCGAGCCTAATATTCGGAATGGGAGGCATTGGGAAACGGTAGTTTTCTTCACATGCATGCTTTTTATTTGTTAAATACTTTGATTGGTGGATAAATCATGAGTTATATTTTTTCTATTCATTTATAATTACAACGGACAGAGGAGAACCAATTTCCAATCAAATGAGAGATAAATACAGAGGACTGATCATGTTTGTATTGTTTTGTTTAGACTTGAAAAAAGTTGACCCAACAGACTGATTATGTTTATACAATTATATTTGGTCTTCACTCCATATTGTTTACTCCTTTAATTGTTAAGTGCTTAAGTTTTTTATTTTTTATTTGAAATTTGAAGGTTAAATCCTTTAATTTTGTCCGTTTACATATATTTTTTAGTTATGTTCTTATATTTCAGTTAGATGATCCGATTTGACCCATGGGCCAACCCTAACCCAAGTATTTAGGGTTAGGGCATATCATTTGACAACTCAACTCGAATTTCAACCAAAACTGAAATCAACTCAACTAGTCTTGACCCAATCCGAACCTTACCCACCCATAATATCTTACTGATATGTTACTGTAGTTTTATTTTTTTGTCCATTTGTGTTAGATGGATCGACCTATTGAGGTGGAGATCTCACTAGTAGACATCCTCCGATGTGTTACAGACGCATGCAACATTCCACGGCCCGAATGCGCTATAAAAGCGGTGGGCGAACAATCACAAGCAGTGATCACCCTATATGCATGGGGTGAAGAAATATTGTTCGAGGGTGACATATGTCCCACGATCAACTCGCCTATTCAATCGGCTGCCAAGGCAGCCATTGAATACTTGAAAACACGGCGCCACATTGAGGTAAAAGACTCAAACCTTGATCTCTCGAAGCGTTACTAGCTTTTATGGAATGAATGAGAGGTCGAGCTAAAGGAAGTCAAGGCAGAGATCCGGGCATTGACACGCGAAAATGGATACATTTGACGGGAAATTGACCATCTAGAGAATAGGGGTGACTCGAGCGTGTGAAGTAGCCATCATTTTTTAATGGTATTAGGGCCATAACGTTCATAACATGTAATGCTATTTTATAATAGCTTTTTGTTTCTCAAACTCTGTTAGTTGTGAATTAGTTATGTGTTCATAACATTCCATCTCGGTAACTGCATACAATAATCCACTCAATGTGGATTACACTAGGCTAGGACACACAACAGTGATCCCATGCACTATACATGTTCACCCTATCGGTTGCGTCCGAAGGTGAACGGGCCCGGAGATTGACTGATCGGGTCTCGGATTAACTATACGGTTAATTTATTTAGGTGAATACCCTGTATTAGATGGTTTATTGTTGGGAGTTGATTTCTTGGTTTTGTTGAGTGATAATTGAGTTTTGTCATTCTTTATATGAAATTGAAATGGTACACTATCTTCAGATTGTCTTTGGGACAAGGTGCTCCACTAAACAATTTAGGGAGATGTTTAATAGTTTGTTTCTAAGTTTGGAGTATAAGAAAAGGCTCCAACAAACTCCCTTTAGACACTTCTTGAATTTGCCACATATGATTGTGGAGACATCCCTTTTGATTTATCTAGTAAAATCATGGGAATCGACTAGCCATTGCTTTACAATTGGTGAAAGGACTGTATAATTCAACGAAGCCGATGTTGCCTTGATAACGAGGCTTAGCCTGTTGGGTAGGACAGTTGCCCTATCGGAAGACCTTCTCGATAGTGAATTGTTCAAACAATCATTTGGCTTGGATGAAAATCACTTTGCCTCTATAAAGTTTGATTTGGTGTGGCATAAGCTAAAAAAGATTGTTCCAAGGCGGGTGAAAGCCTTCCCTCTTTTTTTGTTCTATTCGACTGGCTTATCATAAGATATCGAAAGGCTTTGCCGCTATCTGGGAATTATTTAYGTAGTTATTGTCTACCAAAAAAAGGAAGAGCTATGCGACGTCGTCGGGGGCCGTCTGTTTCTGTTCCTAGAGAACCTTGGTGTTCTGRGGCCCTTTCAACCGGGCTTACACTTCCTTTTTATGAAAACGCGCTATGTTATTTGCACTATGTTTCTCTAATATTGTTAGTTTTTCTCTGCATGTGTGTGCATGTGTTTTTCTTTAATATTGCTAACTTTTCTCAGTTTCTTTATTACTAGCGGTGTGGTTTCTATCGACCCGACTTCCTACTATTTCTGCCTCCATACAGGAGGCTTCTGGACTTCAGAAATAGCAGCATCAGGACTCGGATGACGATTTCGATGAGTACTTTGAGGCAGTATTGCCTCATCCCCAGGATTTGGAGGCAACATTGCCTCCAAGAGTTGCCTCCAAGAAAGGTGGGAAGATTGCCACCAAAACCTAAAGTATATCCTCGCCTTGAAAATTTTAACATGAGCAAGGGTCCCAATGAAGAGTTCAAGTTGATACCTGTTTATAATTAAATTTATCTTGAGATGCTTTTTGAGGAATGAAGTGGAAGGGTCCTAAAAAATTTGTTACTTTTTGGATATTAGAATCCTTTTATTTTGTGATGAATATTTTTGTATTTGTTCAATTACAATACATTTGAAGTCTTGAACAAGTGTATTAAATTAAACAATGATGTAAAGTTTAAGATGATCCGTTCTGTTGATGTAAAGTTTTTGATCATTAGGAGGGCTACAAATTCTGTTGCAGATTTGTTATCCAAATTAGCTTTTAATAGATCTCAATATGTAGGTTGGATAACAAACTATCTTCTAGTTATTTCTTCTTTGTTGTATGCATACTTTGTTTCTCATTAATGATATTTTGATATTATATGTTCAAAAAAAAACAATGAACTTTGTCCAGTGGCAATTAGATTTGTAAAATGCTAGATTATAAATGGTACCATTCAATTTGCATCTAAATATATTGAATACATTTTTAGGCTAAAATTATAATAGTTTTTAAGCTAATTTGGAAAAATTTGTTAGTCTTTAAGTTAATTTGGAAAAGTGAAAAAAACTGATTTTTTTTTTAAATATATAAATCGGGTCGGGTCAGGCTTTAACGGGCTTCTCTAAAGAGGATGGGCTCGGGCTTGAACAATTTAAAATAAAATGAGCCTCGGGCTGTGCCGGGATCAGGCCTAAGAAAAAAATTGCAAGCTCGAGTGAGCCCGAACCGAGCCCGACCCATCCCGACCATGAACAAGTCTACTAGCTATACAAGAAAAGAAAATTGTGTTCATTGTGTCCAACGTCAATTTAATTATTTCGTAAAGTTTTTGGAAATCTGTCAATGTGGAATGTTTAATCACATTTCTCTTAATAATTCTTAGAGTAAAATTTGTCAATTCAGTATTGCTAAAGGAACTCCAAATACTAGTACTTTGCGTATTTTTATACTATGCAAATTCTTTGTAAATAAAGTACTAGTACTTTACGTTCTAAACTCGGACATGAAATTAGTTTAAGGAAAGAGAATTTCAGACATGAAATGTGATCAAAGACACTCAAAGCAGCAACTTGCTTTAACTTGTCAAGTTGCTGCTGATCCTCTCCCATTTGCTAGAAGGTAAAATTCTTTTATTTTGCTTCTCCTTGAACAAAATTGCTTGTGGTGTAAATATCCCACGTTTAATAAAATACAAAATACTATAAGACCTACAGAGTGATGAGGGCCAAACACACATATATATGTGTGATTCTTAACATGGTGATGCTATATCTGAAGAGGTGAGAAACATAGTGCAAATAACAAAGCATCAGCAAACGTTGTGCCGGTACTTCTGTGCTTGGTGATGGGCAAACAAACATGACACTAACTCTTCCCTTTCCCTCTTTTTGCATTTCGTTCCTCTTCCAACTCTTCCCTTTCCCTCTTTCACTAAATCACGCAATTTTCCCTCTTTTCCTCTTTGCGCAACAGACAATTTTCCCTCTCTTCCATTGTCATTCTTAGTGGCTCCTTGCATCTAGTAGTTGTACTTTTGTGAATAAAAGTCTGGTTTTGCTGTTGAAAAAAGTCCGATTTTGTTCTACTGTCTCTAGAAGATTAACATGTTAGTTCTTACAGATAAATTCTTTATGTTCATCTCTTTACTGTGAAAGTAAATTTGATAAATTTGGTTAATAAGACTCCGTTCGGTTACGTTGTGGTTACTGGTTTTTTGTTTTTTTTTTTTTATTTTGAAAAAAAACTAAAAACTCATTTGGCTAGGATTGTGTGTTTTCCTTTTCTATTTAATTACACATGCGTTTTTTTGCGGTTTAAAAACGAAATAATGGATAGCAAACATTCTGGTCAGTCGTTTAGTGCTTTTTTTTTCCTTACTCTCTGTACTAGTGATAGACGATTATCCAAAGACCAGTGGATTAGTTTGAATGTGTTTTATGGTCAGAAATATTCTTAGATTTCATATGTAGGGATGTATTGATAATTTATATGTTGTGTAAATTTGTGTAGTTGACAAAGTCCAAATCTGTGACAAACTTATTTTATTTGTGGTTTCATTTTTTTAAGTATTTTGTAGTATTTTTCCATTGATGAACTTGTAATAGATTCTTCCTGGATGCATTTTTCTCCTTGTTTTTAGATTGCAAGTTACTGTGAAAAGAGAGAATTATATTAATGTGGGAATTTTATGATCAATGGTTGTGTGATGATGATGTTGGTTGAAACCCTATAGGATTCACTAAAATCAGCATGATCAATTATTTTACTACTATTAAAACAAAATACCAGAAATTCCAGAAAACTGAATTACCAGAAATTGCTTACATATAGTGCAGTCAGCCCATTACACAAATTAATGATCATAAAAAAAAATATATCATGACTATCAATTAGAAACTACAAGATTAGGAAATTGAGACTCTCTCTTAATTACTGATAATACATGAGGAAGTGGATGGTGATGATTTTAAGCTGGTACTTTGGGTGTTCTCATAATTTTTTTTTTAAGTTAGTTCTCAACTTAAGTACTAGTACTGTACGTTCTAATCTCAGTCAGATTACTGTTTTTGGATATGCTCTTATTATTTTTTGGGTCTAATTTATTTTTGTTTACAAATGGATGCTACAAATATTTATCCCAGAGTGCAAACATTGGACCATGTTGAAATGCTCTGTAGTTAGCAACTAGATGACAGAGTGAGGCAAATTGTGCAGAACACAAGCATGTACCGGTTTGCTTCCATCATTTTTTATTTAAAATTAGATACAAAACTTTTATCTTTTCTTTGTCACTCCTATAATATAAACGATTCTTCATTTCATATAGGAGAATATAGATTATATTTAGGATTAGAAGATATGTTTTATTTGACTGGACTTCCCATTAATGGGGAAGCAGTCACTTCAAATGCTATAGGGATAGAAATTGTATGTCAAAATTACTAGGCATTGCTCCAACCAATAACAGTGCAGATTTTTTTCTGAACCAATTGAAAGATTTTCAGCGAGGTTGTGTGATTGTTCCTGGGTTGCCAAAATTAAAGGTACCAACTATGTATGTTAGACTCCTTGAAGATATATCAAGAGTTGATAAATTTGCATGGGGGATCAGCCATGTTGGCTCATCTCCATGAAGTTTTGCATAATGTGAAGGGCAAGAGGAAGAACATTTTAGGCAACTGCTTGATACTTCAGGTATCATAACAATCTTTCAGATTTTTTATTTATGGTTTTTTCTATATTGACTTCTTTTTCAGAATCATAATATCTTATTTTTTTTTACAGATTTTTGCTTTGGTGTGCATTCCCATGCTTGCTACCTATTTCTCATTATATTCGGTTCAAAATTTTCTGAAATCTTTCCCTCTTGTAAGAGGCTGCTGGTCATAAACCATTGCAAAAAGATCCAAGGACACCATGAATAGAATGTGTTTACCTACAGCCATATATACTAAAATGACAACCAGGTTTGAATTTTCTTTCATATATTGCAATCTTCGTATATGTTTCGATATAGTTGAGGGTCCAAAATGGCCTTTTGGCCTATATTAAATGGATACGTCTATTTTTTTTTATTTGAACAAAATCATGACTAAAAACTTCTTTTATTAACTGTGCAGGTGGGGATTTCATGGAGGCCATATACCGGTGTTGAAGATGTACCTGTTGAAATGGCTGGCCAATTAAAATTGTGCTTAGGTAGGGTACATCTAATTTGCTTGAACCGGATCTGTGTCTATGACTCTCGCTTGTGTGAACATCAATTGAGTTGCTCGCTTGTGCAATCTGCGTTGAGGAAGCCAATCAAAGTGAAATCGAAGACAAGGAAGGGAGACCCAAGAGACTGGCCTACGTATTGCGCAGACTACGTAACTGCTTGGAATGAGGAACGAGATTTTCTGGTGCCTAGTCCCTTTCCGCCTGCCAGTCCCTCTGCACCTGCCAACCTTGCACTGGTGCCTTATACATCCATCGGTCCCTGCTCCGTCTGCCATCCGCTCTCCGCCTGCCAGCCCCTTCCTTCACATTCAGGAAGAGCTGCAGGAAAATGTGGAGGAGCAAGTAGATGGGAGCTCTCTTGCCATCCCCTCCCCCCACATTCAGGAAGAGCCGCAGGCAAATGTGGAGGAGCAAGAAGGTGGGAGATCTCCAAAAAAGTCAAAGCGAACCAAGAGAACACCTTTTAACTTGAAAGGACATGATTATCCGCAAACTTTCTTACGTAATATCAGACATGGAAAAAAAAGGTAAACATCATTGCCTATTTCTATTCATTTTTTTGTTTTACAATTCTAATTTGTTTGTTTAAGTGTTTCTAATTATGTTTTGTTTGCTGTTGATGTTGATTTAGATGGTGATGGATGCAGTAAATAAGCCTATTTCTGCAGGTTGGTTGGACGAGTACTCAGGTGCAACGAGTTTGCCTAGTATGAATACACTAAGTACAAGTACTTGACATGAAAGAATTTGAAATGTTTCTGCTTTGATGTAAATGTTTCTTCATTGACTGCAATGTAAATGTTTCTGCTTTGAAATCTGTTATGTTTATAAATGTTTGTGCTTTAATAATATGCTTTGATGTAATAATTGTGATGCCTTGTTTGTCATAGTTTGGAAATTAACTCCTCGTCAAATAGAATGACATGATTGCGGCTATAACTCTATTTTGTTTTATTTTTCTTTTACGCCAAAAGAAAATGAAAGCTGTAAGATCAAGTTAACTTCTTCTGAAGATAATTTGTGGTGCCACCATGGTTGCTTATTTTCAATCTAATAGAAGTGGTTAATGCAGGCTAAAAAAGATAAAAAGGAAAAAAAAGACTTTGTATGTGTACATTTATCTTAATGATAAAAAAAAAATCTTTAGGATTTTTTTATTCAAGTTCCAGATAATAATTATCTATAATTTTTTTTTTTACTTTGCATATGTATCTGTTTAGTGCCTATGATTTTGTCGTAATTCAGAAAACATTTTTAATTATTTATGGGATTTCAGTGCAAAGACTGTTTATGGGTCCCCCTTTTTTCCCCGTAAATTTTAGGGAAATTTTCAAAAATAACCTAAAAAACATAAAAAAATTTATATTTTTACGGTGTAATTTTTTTCCAAAATACTGTTTTCTAACTTTTTTATTCAATTTTACGGTGTTAGTATACGTTTAGAGTGTAATTTCTACTAAATTTTGTCTAGAATTTATATCAGAAATGCTCTTCAAGTTTCTTGGTACTTGGTGACAGAAATCAGAGAAGCAATACATGCTCATTTTGTAATTTGAATAGTATGAAAAAACACGCACGCAATACTAGTACTTTACGCGCAACACGAGTGTTGAGATGTTTTTTCCTTATAATTATGTGTTTAGAACGTAATCTGACCGAGTGTTGGTCAAAATTCTTTAATCTGACTGAGCTCAGAACGTAAAGTATTAGTACTTTAGTTGCAAAGAGTTTGGCTACTATGAACACACCCAAAGTACCAGTGCTTTACGTGCGAGTAATTTGAATAGTATGAGAGCATGCGCAGTACTAGTACTTTATTGGCAACATCAGTGTTGAGATAATTTTTCGTTAAATTTCATTTTAATTATGTGCTTTCAATTGTATTTTATGTATAAGTTTAATTATATATTAATTACGTGCTTTGAATTATATTTCATTTTGTAATTATGTGTTTTCAATTGTATTTTATGTGCCAACTAGGATTTTTAAAATTTTGTTTCCTTAATTCATTTTAATTACATTTTTTTAATTATATTTCATTTTAAATTTTAAAAAACTTGTTCTCAACTGACAGATAGTGTAATTATTAGCCTATAAAGGAAATTAAGTCTCCCATTAGTCTTCACCAAGATAAATTTTCAGTTAAAATTAATTACCCCCACCAATGAGTTGATAACGCATCAGCCATTTATTACTATTATTTAATATAGATTCTTTCTTTATTTTGATCATTTTAGTTTCTCGGATTCTTTTTCAAAAAACATCTCTAAAAATTAGGAAAAAATAAGAATTTGAAATTGGAACGTAAAGTACTAGTACTTCACTTACAAAGAATTTGCGTAATATAAAAATACGCAAAGTATTAGTGCTTTGCTATGAGTATTAGGAATTCCTATTAGCAATACAGAATGGACAAATTTTACTCTAAGAATTAATAAGAGAAATGTGATCAAAGACATTCCACATTGACAGATTTCCAAGGAAAGAGAATTTCAGACATGAAATTAGTTTAAGGGATTCAAAAACTCTGATGAACAAGGAAATTCAAGAGCAAAAAGCATTGAAGTGTTCTCATTTCCTGTTATTGATCAGTTTTATAACAATGAAGCAGCTGATTAGATTTTTACTTAAAAAAAAAAATTAAAGAAGATATAGTAAAGTTATACTTAGCGATGAAGTAGCTTGGAGTGGAGTGTCGAGGCACTATGTCACTGAAAGAGGAGCTTCAATAATTAGAAGAGTAGACAGAATAGGGTGTGATTTGAATTACGATGTCTAACTTATAGAGAAATTTTGATGAGAGACGTTGGAACTAAAAATTACATACTACATAGTGTTTCTAAACCCGAGCCAAGATTGAAGGTATTTATCTCATGCCATCCCCTGAAGTAGCTGCGCTTATAATTCCCCATCATTGGAAGGAGGTTCCTCTGTAGATCTAGCCTTCAACTCTGACGGCTCTTCAAGAAGATTTCACAAAATGCAGCCTAAGTCTCACAAAATTCAGAATAATGACAGAATCGATAATCAAGTTCAGATTCAAAATGCCACTGAAAAACTGAAGAAATCCAAAAAAAAACTCCGATTCAAGTTCAGATTCAAAGTGTGTGGTCTAGGTTTAGGCCCAACTCCATCCAGGTTCAGGGTCCCATGACAAAGCCATGAAGATGCCTTGAGGGCTGCTAATGAAGGTAAAAGAGCAGCCAAAGAACGTTCACAGAAGATGAAAGAACAAATTGCATCAATGCGAGAACAAAAGGATGCGATGGAAGCTCAATTACTTAATAGGCAGGTATCACCCTTATTTATATTTATATCTAAATAATTTATACTTGATTGCGTAAATATTTATTAGATATTTATGTTTCATTAATTCTATGCAAGTATCGAGGTGAATCATCCCAATTGCCAAGGCACTCCTCTGTGCATGCTTTTCAAAGTCCCTTTTATCATCAATTTAGTTCCAACACTGAATCACAAGTGTTTTTAGTGAGTGTCATTTGATTTAAACACAAATGAGAAAGTGTAAGGTGTTTATTGACAAGGACAGTTGCATTTGCAGGAAAATACAGAATGTAATTTGTTGATTTTCATGCAAGGAGGAATTGTATCCGTTACCAAAGCAACCATTACAAGTTTAGATTCTCAGAAGATTGTTGGTGGTGTGCCACTTGGTTATGGATGGACAGGGGTCGTGATCAATGTTCCAATTATAAGTGATGCACCACTAGTGCGCCCATATGGACATTATAGAACAGTTGGAACCAATGTTGGTGTTCCAATTGCTTGGAGTTCAATCCACGTAAGTTTTATTTACCGTGTCTATCTTTTATAGTTAAAATATTTGAATATAATTTTAAACTTTATATGATATGATTTGTAGGTTTAATCATTATGCTAGCGGATTTGCATCCATTCTCGGTGTCTCTTCAGCATTCCAAGTCCTAAACCTAAGAGCTATTTTAGCCAATTTTAAGATGCTGACTGGCTTAAAAGTAAACTTAGAGAAGAACTTTCTAATAGGAGTTGGGGACTTAAGAGTTGAGGAAGTGAGACAGTTTGCAGAGGTGCTGCAATGTAAGGTAGGGGAGCAAGGGCATCATCAAGAAGTATATGGAAACCTTTATTAGAAAGGGTGGAGAGGAGGTTAGACAGATGGAAAGCCAAGTACCTCTCTTTGGTTGGGAGAAGTAGGGAAATATGGAGTGATGAGGTTCGGGTGGGAATCTAGGGAGGTAAGAAGTTCCTATGGGGTGAGTGTATGGAAAGGAATCATGAGCTTCAACCAAAATTTCAGAATTTTAATTAAGTTTAAAGTGGGGGAAGGTTGTAAGGCAAGGTTTTTGGAAGACGAATGGTTGGAGGTGGGTAGGTTATGTGAGGTATGTTCTAGACTTTATAAATTGACAGAACAGCAAGTGCCTATTGAGCAGTGTTACGAATGGAGGGGGGAGCAAGTGGTCTGGAATCCAAAGTTTAGAAAACCTTTATTGGACCGAGAAGTGGAAGAATGCATTCAGCTATTGGAGAAATTGGAAGAGGCTAACATTTCCAGAGATACAACAGATGGTTTATGGTGGAAAGATTACAAAGAAGGACGATTCTCAGTTAAATCCTTTTACAAGGTTCTGCTGAGAGATGGTAGGGATTAAAATCAGATAAAGGGTGTGTGGGGCAATCCTATGCCCCCAAGGGTAGAGGCTTTTGCGTGGCTGGTGGCACATGATAGTATTTTAACTAGAGATCATCTGAAATCCAGAGGCTGGCAGCTTGCAAATTGTTGTTATATGTGCAGTCAAGCAGAGGAAACAGTTCTCGACTTATTTTTCTCATGCAATGTGGCAAACTTTATGTGGAAGTTCTTCTCTCGTCTGTTTGGAGTGGCTGCTTTCCATCCAGTGACATCAGCAGAAATCTTTTCCTTGTGGCCTAAAATTAGAGGAAGCAAGAAAGCCAAAATCTTGTGGAGCTGTATTCTAGGATTTGCAGTGTGTTGGGCCATTTGGAAAGAAAGGAATAGAAGGGTATTTGAAGACAAGTAAAAAAAAAAAATAGAATATCTGATAGCAACAGTTGGCAATATAATTTCTGCATGGGCCCTAAGACTTCCAGTGTTCGACCAAGTACACAAGGAAGATCTGTTAGAGAACTTCTGGAATATTTTGGAATTGAATCCATGTAATTTTGATTCATTTTCAGTATAATTCTGTTAAGCAGATGGTTTGTCATCTAGACAACNAGAGAACTTCTGGAATATTTTGGAATTGAATCCATGTAATTTTGATTCATTTTCAGTATAATTCTGTTAAGCAGATGGTTTGTCATCTAGACAACTAGTATTTTGAGATGTAATGCATCTTTTTCAATTTAATGAATTTCCTTTTTATTCTTAAAAAAAATGATTCATCTGTCTGGATCACCCATATACTACYTGATGTAACCGTTTTTGGTCACGTACCATTTTTTGTGATGTATAAATTTTTTGGCTAAGTACCTCGTTGTTTGACCCAGTGGAGACGTGCCTTGGTGATGAGCTACTTGGTGGCGAACTCCCTGGGGGACAACTACTTGGTGACGAACTGCCTGGTGGTGCTCCCTGGTGGCGAACTGCCTGGGGGCGAACTGCCTGGTGGCGAACTGCCTGGTGGCGAACTGCCTGGTGGCGAACTGCCTGGTGGCGAACTGCCTAGTGGTGCTCCCTGGTGGATTCAAGAAAGCCAAAATCTTGTGGAACTGTATTCTAGGATTTGCAGTGTGTTGGGCCATTTGGAAAGAAAGGAATAGAAGGGTATTTGAAGACAAGTAAAAAAAAATAGAATATCTGATAGCAACAGTTGGCAATATAATTTCTGCATGGGCCCTAAGACTTCCAG